CTGAAACACGTGAATGCACAGATCCTCATAAGTTTGTATTTTCCCTTTATTTGACAACTTTTGGAAAATGGGAAGTTGAAAACAAATTAATAATCACAAGTGACAACATTTTATATCTGCTTTCAAAACTGTTCTTCTGATTCTTCTGATGAATATTACTTTTCTCCTTAGTACTTCAAAGATATTTCAGGAGAGTTGATGAATTTAAGAAAGTTTAAACAAGGTTTTATTCAATTAAGTTGTAAATCACATTGATATCTTGTAGTAAGTATGATCTCAAAAAATCATTTCCATCAACAGACTTTTTTTGGTGCCAATGAACCGCTGGTCTACAGAGTTGCCACCACAGCACTCAATGATGGAGAGAGCTGTTTCACACTTGCAGCTGGTCTGAAACAACTTTGGTAATTGTCAATACTAGTGTAAGATGAAAAATTTAACCCTGCAACAATGTATCAAGTACAATGCGTAAACACTTCCGATGTGAACTGATGTAAGAGATTCTTGTCCTCATATTTAAAACTCAGACTTGCATTACAGTAAACTTTCAGCAGGATAAGACTGATAAAATGTATACCAGAATTTACTAAAGGACTGCTCAACGTAAGTAATACTTTATTCAACTTGTGAATAAGCTACTGAAATTATCAGTACTAGACAAACTGGACAGTGGGAAAGAGGAAAAACTACACACAAGTAGGCTTTTCTCTTGTTTTTCACTGTCATATTCTACTACAGGGAGTGCCTGATTATTTTGTTCTCATCCTATCTGCAGGTGAACATACTCACTTGCAGTTCTACAGAAGGTTAAATTTATTTAAGGGTGGTCTGTTTGCTGCTACCCCATTTTTTCCGGGCTGCGCATTCCCATTCCATCACTTCTGTCAGTACTAAAATAAAACTGACTCCATAACAAGTCAGTTAATCCAAGGTTAGGCTCTTCACCAAATGGACTAGCTACACGGTCAGATGAAGGCCAGTACTTTCAAATGCTAAACAGGAAGCAGGAACAGCAAATCATAAAGGAATGGCAGGACTGCAGCAGGCCTTGCTCCATACTATCATGGAAGCATTAAGTCTGCTTCACACTACTAAAAATAACACACTATCACCTCTCCTCCACATCAAAAAGTTTACCACGTGTCATTTAGCAGTCACTCCCAAGAAGTTTGGCTGCTTCATTTTAGTGTGAGGCATCCCTGTCATGGCAGGCGGGCTAGAACTGGATGATCTTAAGGTCCTTTCCAACCCTAACTATTCTGATTCTATGATTCATTATTCTATCCACAGAGCTCCCCTTTTGATCATTTACATGATGTGAACTGTGAGAAACTTGCATCTGACCTGACAAAACAGATGTAATGCAGGAATTTCCTAAAAAGCTTTAAGGACAGCAGTGTCCCTTTTCTATTACTGTATCGCTTATTCATTTGCTAACTTTAATAGAATAAGCAGCAAACAATGGATTGAACAGCACAACCAACATTTCAACAGGGAGACTATAGAAGGTGGCACTATATTCTCTCACTTGTGAAAGCAAAATGTAAAACCAGCACACCATGCAGGAGTGAATCAGAGTTAATCAGGAAAGAAAAACTTACATAGAGAACTTATTGTGGCTTTTTAGATGGGTAAAACAAATTAAATCATCTCCTACTATATTTCCATTTTCAAGCTTTTGCTAGGTTTTGCTACAGGGTAAACTATGTACAGCATTACTATAATACCCACTTTTTTTTTTCTTAACTAAAACACGATTAAAAATTCTTAAAGTTCTTTCTACTCCATCAAGTTTTTGCTATGGAATTCACAGCACACAAAGTTCTCAAGGTAAAAATGAAGACCATACAGCCAAATTTAAAGATCTTCAAGACAGGGAAGTCTAAAATCACTATTACAGGCAAGGGCCTAATGTACTAACAAAATTAAATAATCTTCTACTGAAACACTATTTCCTAGCCATCACAATCTTATAATTCTATTATTGTAGTGGCAAATGATATACAGTTTGACAGGGAGCATCACTGACTAATACCATGTTGCAGCTGTCTTCAGACAAGATGGAGGCATCAGCCAAGTAAAATTACAGCTGTCCTGATGCAGGAAGAGCAATACAAAGAACTTGAAAAACACTGATTCCAGACCAATTAGAATAATTATGTAGAAGCCATAAATATGCTCTTTTCCTCTGAAAAGAAGAATGTGGAGTCAAAGGAAAAAGGGATTAAAAGTGTATGCAGTTGATGTTATGCATCAGATACATATGCATTGAAATTTGAGTTCTGTTTCATGTACCTCATCCTATATAAAAAAACAGTATGAAGGTGGATTAATAGAGAGACTGTAACTAAAAGGGCATCTAGAAAACACATTCAGCTAGATGAGAGTATTCAACGCTTCTTAGAACACGTAAAAGCCTAATACATTTCTAGCAGAGGAATTCAGCCCTACTGCCTAAGACTTTAGAGTAATTCCAAACCCTTAATGTCACTGGAACTCAGTATGCTATACTTATTATGTACATTCTTTTACACAGGCTCTGAGTTATTCCTTACATTCTCCAGTGCACAGTCCAAAGCATCTTTTTTCTTTCCAAGAGAACTGCCCATTCTTACTGAACTCTTGCAAATAACAAACTCCCAGCGATCTCCCAATGAAGATCAATAACCTGTTGGATTCACTTTAGGAGGGATAAGAATGGTACCCCTCAGTGAGATCCCAAAAGCCTGCAGACTGCTTTATTCTTCCCGCTTTTCTTCAGAGGAAAACATGAAAGAAGCAGTACTATATTATCCTGCAGGTCGAGGTAATGACCAGAATCTCACTGAAGTACAACAAAAGAATTAGTCCTACAGAACATTAAGCACAGCCAAAATAAATAATAAGAATTTAAAAAATCATACCAAAGAAATGTAAATGAAATACAAAATAATAATATATATTAAAGAAAAAAAAAATCTTGTTTTTCTCCTTATGGAAAAAAAGATGTCTTATTCAGCCAGTCTGCCTCAAGTTGTGACTTTTATTTGTAAAGAAAAACTGCTTGACTATACCACCATCTTGGTAAGAATCCAATAGCAAGCGGAAAGGGAAATTAAAAATTCACATCCACAAGGAAAAAAAATCACTAGTGATCCAGATTCATAAAGAAGCCCATTTTACTTTTGAAACAGTATCTCTTCACCCAAGTACCTCCAAAATGGAAATCTATTTAAGAAATGTGCCTATTTGTGCACTGTTGCTATAAAATGTAATTAGACTTTTTGGACTCTTTAGTGTAAAAATAACTGATTATTCCTAGAAATTAATAACTCATTCCCATCTCTAACACTAGCTTGCTTTTCTGAAATGTATCTCAGAAAAACAATGCATTGCCACTATAAGGCAGGCATGAGACTGCACATTTTCTCCTATATAATCTCAAATTTTATTCAAGGTAAATGGAGCTAAAACAAAAAATGCATTAATATAATTTATAAATCTTAATCTTCTGACGTTTATTTGGAAAACAGTCATAGCTACAGGTATTCTACCATGTAAAAGGGAATCCCCAATTTTCCATTCTTATATGTTAGAGCATCGTTGGAATCTTCCAGCATCCACAGTTTCCCCACATATCTCATTGTCATTACCTAGGATTTATTTTTCACCCCTCATGCTTAACCTGATTATTTAAAGGTTTATGGCTTCCTCCACAGCAGCTTTCAATTTGTCTAAATTTGTCTAAAACCTAAATCAGAACTTATCAACCCTCAAACTGCCTGAAATTGATTAAGCAGCCGTATTTTATACTAATTGAACAGATGCAATAGGTAGTACAAAAAGTAAGTTCACCTAGATACTAATTCACTGGTATGTAGTACACGAGTTCACCTATATATTAATTCATTAGTGGGTATTAAACATGCCTGTTTCAACAAGCCATAATGCCCATAAATGGGAGACAACAGACCTTTAACTCTTGCACATGTAATAAGCAGCACCCAAACTTCTTATGCGTATCTGATCTTTGGTAACTTTTAAAAATGTATTCTGAATAAATGTTTACAGAGACTGCATACGTCAGCACAAGTTTCCTCATAGCCAGCAACTATTAGCATTCACCAAAGTGCCTAAAATCATTTGGTCATTTTAATACCACCTACTATTTTTTTTCCCACAAGATAATGTTTTCTCGCAATATGGAAACTTATTTCCACCACCGAAGAAGATGTGATTCATTTTTACCATTTTATAATGACACAAAAGTGGTGGTAAAAATAACAAGATGCAAGCTAATTGCATGGGATACGCTATACAGCCACCCTGAATCCCCTTGCTTTGAGTGAGAATGCAGAGCAGGTCTAAGAGAAAGGTTCTCAAGGGTAATTCTGCTTCCTCCAAAAGGCTTTAAGTCATCTGGCTGGGCAGAAGGCAGTTCATACAGTCAGCAAATGAGAAAGATAATCAATTTTCCAGCTGCACTATGTTTATTTTTCCCCAGCATATTGACAGTATATCCTGAAGGGTTTTGTTCTTTTTGGAAGGTGTTCAATGTAACGATCTAAGAAAACACACCTTCTTTTCTTAAAGTATCATGATCACCTCAAAGTAAAACATAAAAGTATGTCATATTTCCCCAGCCTTAAACGTAAGCATCACTGAAAGGTGAGAAAGCTAGTATTTGTTAACAGTTCAGCATTGCTTTTTAAAGGTGATCTGCATCTCTTTCTAAAAAAGACCAAAAAAAACCCTCAAAAAAAAAAAAAAAAAAAAAAAACCACACCAAAAACCAGGCAAAAAAAATCCCCAAAATAACATCTCTTAAAAATATATTCTGTTCTGTGGAATAATTTTATCCAGGATGAGTCACTTTAAAGATAGGTAGAGCATTACAAAATAATATCTAAATTTCATTTGAGGATGTTGCTCTGAAACCTCACCCCTACTGCTGCAGCATAATTGTGTATCATACGTAGCTTCTAGAAATGGAAACAGAAGACTTGTATACAAATACTTACTGCGGGTATCAGTAACTTTTTTACTTCTTCAACAGCCCTCTTCAGCTTTATTTCTGCTCTGTTCTGAGCATCCTCCACAGTGATAAGTACATGTAAATCTTCATTCAGGTGTTCCCAGTTGGGCTTGCCCCGGTTCTGTTCTTCCTGAAAATAAACAAAAGCTATGAAGCACATTCCATATAGAACAACCACAAACACTGGACAAACTCAATTCTGTGAATAGTACACATTATTTTCAACAAGACGGGGAAAAGACTTCTTTGTACTGTGAAGGCTGTTTTGTTTTACATAGTTACTTAACAAGAATTTAGGCTTCAAAATATCTTTTGGGGGATTTTGTTTGTGTTTTGGAACCTCATGCCTTTTTTTTTTCTTTAAGACTACAAAGAAACCAATTCAGAGTACCTTTCCCAACTGAACAAATTAACAAGTACTACAAACACAGTATTGCTCTCTTTGGAGCTTTTCGAGGGTTAAGCAGATAACACATACTCGCAGTTAAGCAACCTAATATTTTTTAAGAAAGTGGAAGAGACACAATACAGAAAAACTCCATGTGAATCACGCCAAAGGACAACAGAGCAATCCTTCAGTGCTAAAAACTGCTTTTGAACACTCATGAAGAAAAGGTTCAGGAATCAAATATTACAAAAGGAACAGAAATGAAGGGCGGAAAGGAGGTGACAGAAGAGCATGTAACAAGATAGTCACCATTACATAAGTACTCTGTTACATCGGTGGCATTCATAATCCCAGAGAGAAATCTTAGCTTGCTGTTTTCAGAAAGAAAGGGCAGGCTAAATGAAAGTTTTTGTTGGTTTTGGTTTTGTTGTTTGTTTTTTAATATAAACATTTCTGAACAATAGAGATCAGTAAATTTAAGTAGCACATTCAAGTATCCAGTCTTATAAAAACCAGGAGAAACCTTCCAACTGTTTTTATTTAATAGAAAATAAAGCCAGCTAAATTTCCCAGAACCATAATTTAAATCTGACAATATTTAAAACGTAATAAAAGAAGTTACAAATTGAAAAGAGGAATACAAAAACTTTAGTAAATGAGAAAGATTTATTATAACTTTCACATCTAAACAAAGGCCTGCACAAACAAAACACACTTGCTTAAAACTCAACATCCTTGGCATAATGTAAGAGTCTCCTATCTGTAAGTAACACACCTGCAGCTTAATCACAAATCACATTTTAAAAAATATAAGGCCAGCAAAGTTAATTGAAAATGCATCTTTTCCCCCAAATTTTACTTAAATTTTTCCAGGAAATTACACAGAGGAAATGCTAGGAGACTGAATACCAACAAATACTTGCAATACTTCATAGTTTAGGTACATAAGGGAGCACTGTTCCTTAGAATGTTTTATGTTTAACTCAGTTGCTTCAAGTCTGAAATGTTTTGTGCAATATGGAAGGATAAAAATAGAGAAAAAAATAGAATCATGAGAGATGTATGAAAAAAGTATGTAAAACAATCAGTACTTTAAAGGAAATTTATTTTCACTAGTCATCATGTAATGTGCATGTGTGCAACACACTCCATACTGTTATCTACAGTGTTTGGGTTTTTAAAAAGCTATCTTAGCCAACTTTCTAAACAATGGTGGCTGTAAAAGTATCTTTGTGAATTTCAGAAGCTGAAAGGGAGAGAGAAAAATAGCCCTCATTTATAAAACAGAACCTGATGCAAAGTGCAGCTGAGTTATAACATGTTCTCTGCTGTAATTTAATCTTTGAAAGAACTATCTAACACAAGGTACGTGCAGCTTATTTCACTCGATCAAAACTTCACTATTACTATTTAAACGATTATATTTATTTTTTTTTCTTTTTTTTTTTAAATCCAAAGCAGGAGTGAGTCATTTTCTTTCCAGATGGTGACAAGCAATATTAATATAACATAGCAGAAAGCATTACATTACAGTTATGATGAATGAGAGAAGGTTCCTAAACCAGCAGAGGGCAGAGCAAGAAACATGCCACTACCTCTTGCACTGACTGATGGGGAGTTGACACAATACTGGAGTGAGAAAGGTACGGGTTACTAGCACAACTACAGTACCACCAGGGAGTAAGGAGGGGCTGAAGGTAAGAGGGACAAATGACAAGGAAAGGTGCCCCCAGGTAAAATGGCAAGGCCTGTCCTGAAAGAGGGAATGCCTAAATGCAGTTTTAGCTACCATGTGATAAAATGGCATGCTTCTATGTAGTGTGGGCAAGCATAAAGGGACTTCCTTGCACTGCATTGGTTTATTTCATAATGAAAATAATATGGCCCAGTCTCAAAAACCTGGATGATATGGAGTTCAAATCTGACAGCAAAATGCACAATGTTGTAGTGGATGTATGCCTGCTTTGTAATTTCTGGAACACAGAAAAATACTTTCTTTGTTACATAAAACAAAGTAGTCTGCCTCTATTACTTGATGTTTAAATATTTTAGATTAATGTAATATGAACTATTGGTGCTGAAATTCAAATTATTCTGTTGCAGCGTGAGGATTTTTTGTTCAAAGAAAAAAAAAGCATACGTAGGACAATAAACAGACAATACTGCCGATTTTTTTTCCACACCCCCTAAACTACTTTCAGGTGGAACACACTGTGCACATGATTAATAATTATTAATATCAGACCTCACAGCACATACTATCATACAAATACTTACTGCTACGTTAACTGAACTACTTTATCACTAGCTCTAGACAATGCTTTTTCATGGCTAAGAAGTACACTAATGAAAGTCTGATTGCTGTGGAGAACACTATTTCTTAAGTCAAACAGTAAGACCGAAAGGAAGCTTAAGAATGCAAGCTCACACAGTATGCTTTGAAAAAACAGTCAAAAAGAGTCAAGAGTTTGGAATGGGCTTCTAATTTCTTCTGTTCTAGCTCAGCCCACTGGGGCTTCAAATTCCTTCATTGTTTCCATCCTGTCCCATGAGCTTGCTTTCTTAGTGGGTTAACAGTTTTCCAAGAAACACCTTTTGGTTTACCAAAAATGCAAGTTGAATGTTATACCAATGTGTATGTATTTGCTTGTTTTCACCAAAACTGGAGAATTCAGATCTACGCTAGGTCATTTCATTCAAACAGAATGTCAGATGCAAATGCATAACAGGGCTAGCTAGGCTCACAGAGAGAGAACTTGCAACCTCTTGCAGTTAAGAGCTGCAACTTTTTTGTTATGTTACCTCATCCTCCTTTTAAATCCTGAAAGGATGGTTTGGAAAAATATATTTTCCCACCCAAGTAAAATTTTAAATTAAACTAGCCCTCTGTGTAACAAGTCTTGAAAACATCCTTTCCCAACCCTGTTTTATTATAAAAAAGGCTGAATGGGTATATTTGAATAGATCTGGAATTCAAGTTGGGCGGTGTCTTTCTTAAGACTCATAAAATATGGTCCAAGACTCTAAGGGTTTGTTGGGAATTTCTTCTAAAATTGTTTGAGGAGAAAATGATGAAAAGATGGGCAGGAAAAAATGACTACCTGCCTTGCTGCATAACTTTGTAGAAGGAAAATACAAGCTATGGCTATCTTGAAGTGAACCACAGCTAAGACAAACCAGACAACTTCACAGAACCAGAGAATGGCTGACATAGGAAGGGACTGTGGACATACTCCATGTCTTCTTCCATGAGTTCCTGCTCAAGGCAGGGTCAACTCAGGCATACTGCCATATTGCTGAGTGCCAAGTTTTAAGTATCTTCAAGTATGGAGACTCCACCATCCCTCCGGGTGACCTATTCAGTGCTCAAGCAGTGTTTAAACAGTGTTTGGTCACAATAAGGAGGTTTTTCTTATGTTAAAATGGAATATCATATTCTAGTGTGCCCACTGCCTCTTGTCCTTCAGTAGCAAATGTTGAGCAATTCAGCCTGGTTGTCAGGTCTACCTACAGAAAAAGGAGGAAAACTGCCATGAGGGTGATTTTGGGCAACCCCTCCATTTGTTACCACAGTAGGAATGGTATACACAGAAAAGCGAAACAGCACCAAGAAAACGTGAATAAAAAACTAGGCAAGAAGAAATTCAATTGCATGTATTCAAAATTATATTATATACACAAGAAGTAATTTACAGCACGAAGTTTTCCTGCATCCCAGAGACTGTTTATGGAAGAATTATACAGGAAAAATGGAGGCAGTGATGATGCAGGGAACTACAAAGTAAAATGACTTATATCACAACCTTGGGGAACAACAATATTAGAAAAGCTTAATTACAACCAAACTATCTTATCTGCTAAATTAAAGAACATTAAAACCAACATAACTGGCAGATGAAATCTCACTGTGCTCCTTGTTTGGCAGAAGTTTCAGTATCCTTAAGTATAGCCTGATTCTGTAAACAGATTTTGCTTTCATTCTGTTGCCTGTGCGTATACACTCATTATCCTCAGGGTGCCTATATACAATAATGGACTTGAAGAAACTGCTCAATATTTATCTTGCTATTAAGGTCAATGTAGTTTAAAATAATAACAATAATAAAAAGAAAAGGTCTTGCTACAACTCGTCAAAATTTAATTGCACAAAAATAAAAGTAACATACTTACAGCTTTATCCCCCCCCCCAATTATTTCTTGTTTTCTTGGGAAGGAGTTATGGGGAGAGTCAAAAGCAGAAAAAGGATGCAACTGACCTGCATCCACACAGCCAAGTTTTAATATTAGAAAAGGTGCTGCATGAGGAAAAATACTGAAGTGTAGTCCCTTGCTGATTTGTGCCCTGTGTTGCCATACACTTCACCATACCACAGGATTTCCAAGTCAGGGTCTTACAGCTCCTACATCCCAGGCCGTTAAGGCCAATACTATTTACATCTTCATATCCCATCCCAAAGCTTCCTTCATGTCTTTGCTATTGACTTAACAAGAAAAAGACAGCAGCTTACTCATTTTCTGTGACCTACACAAAGCAGATGACTGAAAACTCGGTACACCCCTTCCCTCCTCTAGAGGTATTAAGTTACTCCTCTATCTAGATAATAATTTTCAAAAAAACATTAAATCCAAAGGAAAGAAGTGCCTGTCTAGCTGGACTGAAATGGTTAAAAAGATTCAAATGGTGAAAGCAGAAAATAATTTCAGAAAGCAAGCTATCACAAAATATTATCAAGAACTT